GGTGGGGGGGGGGGGGGGGGGGGGGGGGGGGGGGGGGGGAGGGTGAACACTGTCAGGAGGTGTGGTTAACATTGTTGAGATATGAGGGAGAGGGTTCAACATTGTTGAAGGGTTGAGGGAGAAGGGAGTAGGGTTTGACCATTTACAAAGGGTAGTTTCAAGGTTGTACATTGTCGTTGCGGGGAGGTTGAGAAGCATTGGGGTTGACGGCTCCGATTGAAACAACAGAAGTCAATGAACTGAACCTTGAACGGCATCTGTTCAGTTCATGGTTTTAAAAGAATAGGTGGTGTGGCTGCCTTGGAATTAGCCTGACTGTTGGCTCGCTGACTCTGTTCACCCCTTTATTTCTGCTGCAGCCAGCATTAGAAGGTGCAAAGGCTCCAGAGCAAAATGGCAGTTGGCAGATTAAGTCACAATCAGTGTTGTGTATATATAATAATCATGGAGTTTTGACTACGCTGGTATGAGTTGAAAAGGAAAGGTAGGTAAAGGGGATAAGGGAATGTAGTTCTGCAATGTTCATGGGATTACTTTCTGAACCGTATCTAAAAACTAGAACAATGGAGTTAGAACAAGTAATGGACAATGAACCAATGGAGATGAGAGAAAATAAGGGGACAATTTGGGTGCTATTAACCAAACTAATGTGTTTAATATTATGCTAGAGAAGAACACAATCATGCCAAAAAAGGGTTTGAGAGAAGCTGATTTGAGGGGCTGAAGTACAACTCGGGAAAATAAAATGGGCAACAGTGTTGGCAAACGATGAAATCGAATGGCAATGAAAAATATTTATCCCACTAAAAGGGAAGAACACGCTAAACACTACTGAAACTCCAAAATATAAGGGAACAACTGACGTTTGCAGAAGGGACATAAATTAATTGCATGTGAAGGAATGCATAATTAGAGAGAATTTGAGCAGAGTAGCAGAGAAATTAAAAAAAAAAATCTAAGAATTATCAAATTAAATGATCAAAGGACATAGATATTTTGGTCTTTTTTTTAAACAAAGAGGCTACGGTGGGAGTAGGACCATTAATGGATATTCAAGATGCTATTGCAGGTAACAATAGAAGGATGGCAGAAATATGAAATAATTATTTTTTTGTGATATATACTGGGGAAATTGAATAGGTAGACATGACATTGAATGATCTGAATAATGAGAGAAGTTCAGTTAAAGCTAAAAAGGGGGAAAATACTGATAAGCTAAACAAACTGGATTGCATTATGTTTTTTGGAGTCGAGTTGAAATGGGAACATTACTACACATATTTCATACTTGTTTGCAATAAAGGTGCAGTGTCAGTGGACTGGTGGATAGCTAAGGTAATTTGTATTGAAGAAAGGGTCAGAACCTGTCCAGGGAATTATAGTCATCTTAATGTTAGTAGTTAGAGAAATAAAGGATACATCCTTTCTAATGGAAAGAACAGAAGAACATCTAGAAACAAGTAATATAATGAATAGTCAACCTGTGTTTCAAAAGGGAAAATATCGTTTGACAAATCTCACTGAATTTTAAGAAGATAACAGAAAAAGGAAGAAGTTCTTTGATAAGATACCACGTAGTCCAGTAATGAATAAAATCAGAAAATGTGGAGTTGGGGTACATTTGGTAGAATAAATTGCTAGCTTTCTTCAAGGCAAAACAGAAAATGAAAGTAAAGAGCATTTTTGGAATTGCAAAAGACGGAAAGTGATGTTTCACAGGCTCCTGTGCTGAGGATATGGTGGCTCATAGTCTACGTTAATGATTTAAAGTTTGGAATTTGAGTTTCCAGACAACATCAGCTGAAGGGGAAAAGGGGTAAATAATCAGTACTGATTTAACTGCAGCAAATTAGACAAGGACGTGAATATACTTGCAAGATGGGCAAACAAAAACAAATGAAGTTTAACCAAATAATGTGAGGAGACATAGAATTAGAGGAAGGAAGAGACCAATCATTAGAAATCCTTCCATAAGTTTACAGGGTCAGAACAAAAGCAAACCGAGTGCTAGGCATTCTTTCTAATTGTCACATAAACCTGAGTTAATGTATTTAAATCTGTAAACTTCGTTATCCCATGCAACATAGAAACATATCATTTGGTTCAGTTGGTCAATGACAGCGTTTATGCTACAAGCAAACCTTCTCTCACCCTTTCCTTTTCTCTATATCTTCCAATTTCCCTCTGTTCAATGTTTGCTGAGCTTCACCTTAAAAGGGTTTTGCGCTGTCCACCCCAACTATGCATCTGTGATTCCATATTCTAATCATGCTCTATATTTATGACCCTTAGTTTTAGACTCCCATCGATTGAAGCATATTTTTGTATCCATCCCACTCAACACTTTTATACTTTTAAAGACCTATGTTAGGTAACCTATTAGTTTTTTGTAGCGATAAGAGACCCAAATCTATTCAATCCTTCTGTACAGGTATAACGTTCTGTTGTGACGAAGCCAGCATTTTTTATTTTTTGTTTGTTTTGCAGCCTTTTAGTTCTGGTACCTGCCTTGCAAGGTTATTATACCTGGGAAATAAAGAGCTTTTTAAACCAGTTAGTAAACTAGCACTGAGTATGCATTTTTGATTTTAAGAGTCATCCTTTTCATTATGCTGTGTGACCTTTCCAATAATGTTGCACAGGTCATGTTTCCCTGATTTTTATTTTGGCCACATTTATGTATATAGTTTTTATTTTACTTTTGAATCCTCCCGCTAGTTATCCCAGATTACTCTTTAACTTGTGTCCCCCTGAATGTGGACTACAGTTTCACCCTGTGCTGCTTTAGATTGGTCATTTGGAGCTGAGAAACTCGAGGAGTAACTTCAGTTGAAGTGCAGTTGGAACATAGCACCGATGTTCCTTCAAGTGAATTTTAAGGTCTCAAGCCTGATTCTGCTTTTAAGAAACTGACTTAAAGTGATTGACCATCAGAACCAAAATGAGATTTGATTTAGTAACAGCATCAATTAAGTAATTCTGGAAAGCCAAGCCCAAAAAATAATTAATTAATTTGCCTGAAAGTATGGCCCAAAACAAACAGTCACATTGTAAGGAGTGTTTATAATGCATTCTTGTTCTTTCATTTAACTCTTTCCAAACTATTTGCCTCTCACCTCCACTAGTCACTGCTTGAAAATGCAAACAGTATCCAAATCTTTCTATGACATAGCATACTAATAGGACTTCTTTAACTTTCAGTAAAGCGAGAGACATTTTGGAAGCCTCAGTTATGTTGGGAGTTACATTTAAGCCAGAATAGACGTTTGTAAGCAGAAATGTTTTTCCATATTCCATGCATGACTGCAGATACTTGACTCTTCACCCTGAACTACATCTTGTATTTGATAATTAATTTTGCTGTTATAAAGTCACGCCATTGACAGTTGTGTTGCATGACCTCAACAACTTTTCGATTACATCAACTTTCAGTGGCTTTCATATTGCATTTTACCAGCAACTGTATTTTCTATAGGCTGTTGTAATAAGTTACCTCAAACATTGATCACCATAATCAACTTTGGTTTTTTGGTGATCTGTAAAATCAAAATTTTAGTTCTTGGATGGAGCAGAATTTGAAACTATTCCCGAACTGTAAAGCTGTAAACTATAGGTTTTCATTTTTGAAGTCCATTTTGCACCTATGTGCATTCACTTAATCTAATGCATCCCTTTGACTGATCAGTTGCCACTGCCCATAATACTGTAGGGGAGAAATGTATTTGCATAACATCAGTTCTAGCAGCATTATGCAGACTGCCAGAATTTTGTAGGATCAGACAGTGCTTTCAGCTGCTACCTGTGTGGCCCAAATGGGGTTTTATCAAGAGAAAAATCATGTGCTGGCTAGGAAGGTGGAGGCATTGTCTGCATTGGGGGATTCAACGTAGTCTGCTTATTGCCACTTGGAAGCATTGTTGCACAAATTGCCCCCACCTAGAGTCTACCAAAGATTTAAATGAATCAGACTGGGTTATGGCTGGTTCCTCTTTCTTTCCTCTTGCTGGGGAAATGACTTGTTTCCATATAAACTCATATTGAGAACTAATTTAGATAAACTGTTCAAATTGCCTCTTATTCCTGAGATTGAAACATTGACCGTTGAATTCATAATTAAGCATAATTTGTGTTTCAATGCTCTTTGCATCTTAGTTGCTTCTTTTTTAAACATAAAGATTACATTTAGTATTATGATTTCGTCAGTGAAAACTGATTTTAAAGTTGTAACAATTGTAGGTATAATCTAAACAAAAAGTAACTGTGTCTTATAATGTGCAGTTCTTTGCAGCATCAATCTTTTTGATTTGAAGTTGGTGATTCAGAACAATTGCACCTGCAATCTTCAGTTCTCTAAGCTGACAAGATACTACAGAAAGCTCCCAACTTCTTTAATTAGTTTTCAGCCAAATTGGTAGAAGACAAGCAAGACCAGTATTAACTGATTCACTGACAATTCTGGTGATATGCCACTGTACTTACCAAATATTAATTGACACCTGTTTTGTCACCTTTTTTATGGATAAACCAATGTGAGGTATTTGCTTTTATTAGAGGTTTTTCAGCATTCTAGTTGATCTGGAATTATTTAACATCTCTGTAATTGTGTATATTTTGTGTTTCAGATTTATTTCTTTCTGAATGTTAAATGAACAGGAAAAACAGTAATAGTTGAGAAACCTTTCAAATAATTCTAGATTTGTGAAGTTGTAATAGGTTGGATTTGGGAAGAAAATGCCCTCTAGATAATTTAGATGTGCTACAACTGAAAACTGCTTTTGCTCAAATTGATAATAGTGCTTTAGTTTGACCGTCATTGAGCATTCAGAGGAATACTCTGTGTATTTACAGTGTTTAATTTTCTGCTCTCTGTTACTGTTTGACTAAATTATAAACCCACAAGTGAAGTTGTAGAACAGCTTTTATATGCCATTACTAATCCTTGTAACAGAATGGCAAACTTGATTGAATGAAAATTGTTTTTCACATTTTTAATTGGAGTATAAATGCGACTTCTGATTTTGAATACTTTGGTAACTATTCTGTAGCGAATGACTGAGTTTCATTATTTGATTGGAAATAACAGTTTATAAAACAAGGTAAAAATATAATTTGAAGATTCACTTAATCCATTTTTGTTCATCCACTTCTTTAAACCAAAGCCAGAGAACTTGCTCCTCGCTAGTAAATTGAAAGGAGCTGCTGTGAAATTGGCCGATTTTGGTTTGGCAATTGAGGTCCAAGGAGACCAGCAAGCATGGTTTGGTGAGTACAATTAATTTTTGATTACCTCAAGCTTAATGCCATTCAAGAAATCAAGTTCGATTTTACATAAGTCATTATTTAAAAAACTTCATTTTAGGGTCTTCCTAAAGAAAATAATTTTGACTTCTGATAGAGCAAATTTGGATACCTGGGAGAATCTCCTTTTTCAATACCAAGGGCCATTTTGTAAAATGCCCAATGCAGCAGTCAGTGACCCCCACAGTGCAGTTCTCAAGCCAAGTGATCGAACCCATTGTTCTCTGCTTCTGGATAGAAGGGCAATGGAGCAATGCCACTATAGAGAAGGGAGATATTACTTGTGGAAAATGTTATGGACCAGGCCAAATCCCCTCAAAAAACATATCAAGAAGGTAGCATAGACCATTATATTTATCACCATTATATTTATCTTATTTAAAGGCAAATTTAAGGTGCTGTGTTCTGTACATGGTTTGACTTTAAACAAATCACACTATATTCTTAGACCACAGTTAAAAGACAGACAAAAAAAAGCATAACTTTAACTCTATTGAAATACTTAATACAATAATATATATTTTAACTACCACTCATCAGATGTTCCAGTGTGGCAGCATCCCGTAATCACACCCTTGGCAAAGGCAGCTTCAGCAAAAGAGTGTTATTCTCACGTGAAGTCTTCTCATTATAATCCAGCAGAATGAAATACTGAAAGAAACAGTCTAGCAGCAGAGAGAGACCTCAAGCTTTTTGCAGCAGCTGATAAAGAGCTGTATCCAGCAACTTGTTCAAAACCCCAACGTCAACAGCTGAAAGCAAAAACTAAAATCCTGTATCTGTGAGAGCCTGACTTTACCCACTCATCCTTCTTCTTTTCTACATTAAGAAAAACTAAGACTATTTACTCTGCTTTCGCTGGAGCAGACACCTCGGTACGAGGTTTACAGTAGCCCTTGTTTTCAAGAGAAACAGGATAGACCAAATGCCTCTTAAAGGCACATCTCTTCACAGAAAGAAAATCAGCTGATATGATAGATTATAATGCACCATCCCCAACACATTTTCTTTCCTGTGACAGTAGCATAAAATTACAAGCACATGGATACGAAATTAAGAATACTGTCTGACCAACCAGAAGAAATGTACACCAAATTTAGGCAATGAGATAATAAGGTGTAGAGCTGGATGAACACAGCAGGCCAAGCAGCATCAGAGGAGCAGGAAAGCTGACGTTTCGGGTCTGGACCCTTCAGAAATTTTTGCCTTTGATCAAAACTGTGAGGTGGGAAGTATTGGCTCAGCTGCACCTTAAATATCTGTTCTAATTTTTGATTCTCATAAAAATGCAAACAAAAGTCAAGAGGGGCATGTAATGGGTAGCAGGATTGATATCACCCATTTTACGTGATTGTTCTATGACAGAATTACCCCATAGTATCTGAATTGGAGCAAGATACAAATGCTTTGGATCCACGTTGAATCTATGACTCTAAGTGTTGCTGTACGTTGTACTAATGCGTCTATTGTGGCTGTCAATTGTAATTATTCGTCAAGGGAAGCAAATTAAATAATTTGTGATAACAATTTATCTGCGCCCTATGTCTAATTTGCCATCTGGATATTAATACTTTCAAGTTTTATCACCAGATAAATGAGAAATGTTTTCCTTCTTTCTAATTTAAAATGCCAGTTTAATTTTCTCATCATGTAAAACCTTGATCGGTGGTTTGAATTAAATCCCTTTTTCTGTACTATGGTACTCAGATGTTAAAGAGAGAAATCCAACCGTATTAATTACAAAGCTGTTTTTCGTATTAAAACTTGTGACTTATTTGAAATCAACCTCCATGCTGATAATGCCATACTAATCCACAGGTTTTGCGGGCACACCTGGGTACCTCTCCCCTGAAGTATTAAGGAAAGATCCGTATGGAAAGCCAGTGGATATGTGGGCTTGTGGTCAGTAAAATACGTTGTTTTGGATTTAGCCAACTTGTTAATCTTCTCATCAGATATAATGAAATAATATCAGACAGATCAAATGTGTGTTAATATTTCTTAAAAGTAAGCAAACATACACTTTCTGGCAGGAATCTTTAAATAACAATGTGAAACAGGAGCTCTGGTTATTTTCTCCTTCCCTCACACAAGCACTGAAGCCAGTTGTAGCACTTTGTTTGTGCTACAGTTGAAATTACGCATCAACCAGGAGTTATACCTGGGTATATTTATATATTTTAATTGTATTCTGTTGCAATGGTAATATGTTTCCCATGCTTAGTATTTGGAGACGGGTGTTGATTAGCTCTGTTGGCTAAACAGCTGTAATGCCAACAGTATTGATTGAATTACCCCACTGACTGAGATAACCATGTAGGACCCACCTTCATCACATCTCCCCTTGCCTGAGGTGTGGTGACCCTCAGATTAAGCTACACCCAGCTGTGTTTCTCTAATGAGAGAGCAGTACTATGGTCCTCTGGGAATGGAGTGGCTTTATCTTTTTTTTTTAATTTGGGGGCAGCCCCACAATGAACACTATTTGTGACAAAAACTTAGCAAACCTTTTTTTCCTGCCTCACAACTTCTTTCCTTTCAAATTTTTAAGCATTGGATTAGAACTCATTTCTTTAGTTGCCTCCTTTTTTTTCCATTCACTGTTTTGTCTATTCTTTTTACTTTTATCGCACTGCTACTCATCTTAAAATATATTGCAATGTTGCTGGGAGCAGATATTTATGGATTTTGAGAATTGGAAAATAACAGGTTGGATTATTTCTGGGTTGCAAATGATTTATCACATGTGACTTTTTGGAATTTGAGATGTTTATAAAAAGCCACATGACTTTGAGAGGAAAAGTGTTTAAAATAAATGAGAGGTTTCTATATAGTCTTTAATTGCCAGACAAACAACTGTATTTTGTAAGAGTTGGGTGTTGTCTAGCAACAGCCTCTGAACTGTGAGGTTGCTTTATTTCCAACTAAACTGGTTTTGATTAGTTGGTAAAAGGCTCTAAAGCTTAAAAAAAAGCAAATTCTGTCTCTCCTGAAAAATGGCATTTGGATAAAAGCTGGCAGGAATAAATAATCTCTGTCAGTAAGAGAAAAATCATGAAAGCAAAACCAGCTAAAAATTTTACTGTCTGTGAAGAAATTAGACAAGTGAAACTCGGAATTTTTCAAACTGTTTCTCATCTGAATCTGACATCTGGTCTGAAGATTTTCCATTGTTTTACGACCAACAGAAACAAATTGACTATTTCGATGATAAAGTAAACATTTACACTTTTGGTATGGCTTATGCAGTACTGGGGCATGATTTCCTGTGCACTGCTCTCGTCAGAGTTTGTTTTATGTTAAGGACCTTTATGACTTGCATGAACCTTGCCAGTATTCAATTGTCTTTCATCACGGCAAGCTGACCAACATACTTACCAAAGACTAGAATGGAAAATTACCGTATAGCACAGCAAAAGACCAGGCTGAAACATTTTGTACTCATGTTTAGCCAGAAGTGCCAGTTGGATTTTCCAGCTCAGCCTGTTCCTGAAGTCCCCTACATCGTAGATGCCAGTGTTCAGGCAGTTTGATTCACTCCACATGACATCAAGCAATGGCTGAAGTTACTGAATACTCTAAAGGCCATGGACCTTTGATACTGTAGCATTAGTACTGAGGAAATGTCATCCAAAGCTTGCCATGCACACAACCCAGCTGTCCCAGTACCATGACAAGAAGGGCATCAATTTACCAATGTAGAAGATTGCTTAGTTATGCCCTGTCCGCAAAAAGCAAGACAATTTTAACGCCACCAATTACTATCCTGTCAGTTTACTCTTGATTATCGGCAAAGGATCATTGACAGCGCGATCAAACAGCACTTGCAAAGTAACAACCTGCTCACAGACTCTAAGTTTGGGTTCTGCCAGGGTGCATCAGCTCAAAACCTCATTACAGCCTTGTTCCAAACATGGACAAAAGTACTGAATTCCAGAGATAAGATGAGAGTGATTGCACTTGACATCAATGCATTTAACCAAATAGGGTATGAAGGAGCCCAAGCAAAACTGGAGTCTGTGGGAAACAGGCAGGAAACTCCCTGCTGTTTTGGAGTCTTTCACAATGCAAAGTAAGATGTTGCAGTTAGAGGCCAATCATCTCAGAACATCATTTCAGGACTTCCTCAGAGTAGACTCAGACACTGTGTCCAACCATCATCAGTTGCTTAATTGATGACCGTTCCTCCCTCATAAGATCAGACGTGGAGATGCTCACTGATGATTACCAATCTTCTGAATTTATGATATTGCAAGGAGCGAACTAGCCCACGTACAGCAATACATGGACAATATTAAGGTTGGGACTGACAAGTGACGAGTAATATTGCGGCAGTTAATGACAGATTCCAACAAGAGATAACCTGACCATCTTCTCTTCCCTCCAATCAATGACATTATTGTCACAAATTTCTCACGATCAACATCTTGGTGGTTACCATTGACCAGAACCTGAAATAGAACAGCCATGTAAATAATGTGGCTACAAGAGCAAATCATCACCTGACCCTGCCCATCATTTGCAAGGGCACAAGTCAGCAGTGTAATGGCTTTGCCTGGATGAGTGCAGTCCCAACAACACTAAAGAACCTTGACACCGGGACAAAGCAGTCTGCTTTTGATTGCACTTCATTCATCACCTTCAACATTCACTCTCTTCATCACTGATGCAATATGGCATCAGTGTGTTAAATTTACAGGATGCATTGCAGTAACTCTCAAAGGCTCCTTCAACATCACCTTCCAAACACCGTCTCAAAGGACCAGAACAGTAATGCATAGAAACAGCACCACCTGCAAGTTCCCTTCCAGACCATGCACCACCGTGACTTGGAACTATATTGTTTCCTTCACTATCAATGGGTCAAAATCCTGGTACTTCCTACCTAAGCCAGTTATGGGTGTCCCTACACCGCAAGGATTGCAGCAGTTCAAGACGGCTGCCCAATACCACCACTTCAAGCACATTTACCGATAAGCAGTTTAAAAAAAAAAAGCTGGCACCAATAAATTTTTGTGTGGCTGCTCCCTAGCCTTTCTCTGTATCCCTGCAAATTTTTCTCTTCAGATTATGATCCAGTTTTCTTTTAAACATAAGATTAAATCTGCTTCCACCATACTGCCTCAATCGTGATCCATATCCAAGAATTTCTGTTGCAACCATGTTAATATATCTTCCATTAAAGGAACATAAAGCATTTTGGTTGTAGCAATGCAAGGAACCATCAACATGAAGTCGTAGAGCATGGAAACAGACTCTTCAGTCCAACCAATCCATGCTGAACATAATCCCAAACTAAGCTAATCACATCTGCCTGCTCCTGGTCAATATCCCTGCAAACCTTTCCTATTCATATACTTACCAAAGTCTTTTTTAAATGTTGTAACCGTGCCCATATCCACCACTTCTTTTTAAATGTTAATCAAAGATTGAGGTAATCAAACAGTTGCATCTTAACCAGTTGATGGAAGTCAACTGTAAAACCACTCACTGCAAAAAAAAGTTTCCCTCACATTTCCACTGCTGCTTTTGTCATTCTCCTAAAATTGATGTTCCCTGATTCTTGATACTGCAGGAACAGTTTCTCCCTATCTGCTCTGCCCAGAGCCCCTCATGATTTTCAATATTTCCATCAAAGCTCTTCTCAACTTTCTTCTGCACAGAAGGCAGCTCTACCTTCTCCAATCTAATCAAGTAATTAAAGTTTCCCTCAAACCATTATTTTGATACCCTGTCTACTACATTTGCATCATTCCAGAAGTGTATTGCTTAGAATGAAGCTTATTTTTTTCAGCAACAACTGTCTCATCTTTCTCTCTCATGTTACCTATTCTCAAATCAGAGGCCACTGAATTCTTCAAAGTTTAGAGTCCCCTATATGTCTCAGTGTTGATACTCTTTTCAAAGTCATTTAGAACTGAAAATTTCATATTATACCAAATGTAACTATAATCATGAGCACAGATTATGGTATAACTTCAAGATTTTAGAATACTTCAGTCACGATTACAAGTTGCATTCAAAATGGTTAAGTTCTGAATTGGAAGATGTACAAAAGTGCTTGTAACAGGAATTCCATGGTAGCGATCAAAGTTGGCAGTTGTGACTATCTTTTCCTTGTCCCACATTACAGTTGCAGCAAGAAAGCTGCTGCACATCAAGACCTTGTAGGACCTGAACTTTTCTACCTGTCTACCTTGGGTTTATCTATGTTAAATTTTCACTTGCTATTCCATAATTTTTCAGTCAGAGCTCCCAGTCATGTTGCCTTGCCACATCTTGTGGCATTCCTAACAAGGATTGTTAGTGCCCACCTTCTGGTGAATGTCGATAATCTAAATGCTATGGAAATTGTAATTGCATTGTGTGTGAGAGAGAAATTTTCTTATTTTTCTCTGTTTTTCTAAAGCCCCTACATTTCCTGAAACCACTTTACACTTCTCTGTAATCAGCAGTACCAGAATGGCAATGACCATTAGAGTAAGGCTCAATACTTCATTAAGCAAATTTAAGAAGGTATTTGTATTAACTAAAATGTCTTTTTATGAGGATGCTAATTTATTAAGTCCTGCTTGCAAATCTATTCAGTTCGTGCCAGAAGCCCTAAAACTCAAATCAGATTATTTTATGAATTCAAGTAATATATATGAAAACTATTGACTAAATGAGTTTCTACTCCCATTTCATAATCAGAAGTTAGATTAGAGTGTAATAATTTCAGCAAATAATGTTCTTAAAGTAGAATATGATAATTAACTTAGCATCCAGTCTTGTTAAATGTCACATTATTTACACAATGGGTTTCATCTCGAATAATGTTTAATTGCTTATTTTATAATCACTTCATTTCATTTCCACTGTTTGAATTCACTGTCTAGGTGATGTGCAAGCTCGATATTTACATTCACATCCTTTAATTATTAGAACTGCTGAGTTCCCCTGCTGGATGTCTCTGTTTCAATTCAATTTTTAGAGGCACAGAGACTTTAAGTCCTTAGTTTTGGCTGTGCTGATAGAGCCCTTACTTGATTTGCAACAAAGATGTTATGAAACCTTCGATCTAGCCTCAAAAACCCACGTTTCTCAAAAACTAAAAGGTAAGTTATTTCGGATGACGGTTGTTCAGAAACAGTCTTCAGCTCCCAATACCTGCTGGTTTCAGTGCACAGTGGGAGTGCTTGAAAGATCCGAAGATCAGTAATAGACTATATGTACTCTCCACCCTCAAACACTTTGAGAAGGTGACATCCTTAATTGCACTGAAAGATTTTGTTTGGCAAGTTAAATCTTGGACTCTGTTTTTCAGAATTAATTCCTGCAGTCTTCACATATCAGACAGCTTAGCCACGTTAGCTACACAAATGCACTATTAGGTATTCAGTATTTCTTTAATTTGGACAGGTGTTATTCTGTACATACTACTGGTTGGTTACCCTCCTTTCTGGGATGAAGATCAGCATAGGCTGTACCAGCAGATCAAGGCTGGTGCTTATGATGTAAGTACATTGAGTAGCTTCTGCTAACTCTTTTCCAGTGTTTGAAGATATTTTATTGATGCATGTAGACGATTTTTATCCTCTGATTTTCAGGAAGAAGTGTGTTATTCATCACCTTGTTTTTAATTTAAAAGTAAATATGTAAATTGATACCAGCTAAATGATACCTTTCCATTTGTTTTGTTTCTACCCATTCGCCAAAACACACATCCTAATACTGTAGCCTTCAGTCTTTTTATCTGATGCCTAACACCTAACCTGGTGGGTAGGTCTCCAGCACCTAGTGATATAAAATATCTTCTGCCAAATCCAAATAGTCATTGCTCATCTTGTCTTTCAGTACTGGCATGATCAGATCTAGAGCAAAGTTGTGATAACTGAGCAAGTGCATAATGCATTAATCAGTTCGATGTGCAGGCTGGTCGAGAGTAAATTACTTCGATGCACAATTTACTAACATCTCTGGAAATCTAGCATTCCAAGAAGTAGTAGATTGAAAGGAAAGCAACAAAGCTCTTACCTAAAAGGCTAGATTATGCTGATGCACAACATTCAGTTAATTAAATTCAAATTGTTCTTTGATCTCAGCCTCTATAAGAACAAGAGGTAGATTGATCTTGTGTAAGGTTAACTCTCACTATGAAGCTTCACACAAACATAACCTTCACACAAACATCACCTTCAGTCTGGTTAAGTTAGGAGACATTTTGGCAACATCTTGCCCGAGGCAGATTTGGAGGTGGGCACGTGGGAGAGGAAATTGTTGTCCGTATTCTTGATTTAGAAAGAATTTTAGCATTTTGTCGAAATACTTTTAATTATTTTCAATTAGAGTCAAATTTATATTTCTTCTCTAGCAAAAAAAAAAGCTGCTGTTGTTATTAAACAGGCAAATGTTGAATTGATGATAATCATCTAGTTAACTCTATCATTTTACTTGTAGTTCCCATCACCAGAGTGGGATACAGTGACTCCAGAAGCTAAGGATCTAATCAATAAAATGTTAACAATAAATCCTGCCAAAAGAATCACAGCCTCTGAAGCCCTGAAACATCCATGGATTTGTGTACGTTGCTACTTTTTTTTGCATCAATAACAAATTATTATGCTGTGTGTACTTAATATTTTGTATTGGTAGTTCATTACTTAGCAGATATATAGGGCTCTGGGATCATCATTTGAAACACAATCTTAAGTAATGAATGTGTGGAGGTATTGATTTTTAAAAAAGTCTGCTGCTGTTGTGAGGTATCAAGGCTTAAAGAACTTTCCTCTGGCTTCCCCAAAGTACTTCTAAAAGTAATGATTTAGTTTTAAAGTGGAGCTACTTCTGCGATATAGAGAACATGACTACCAATTTGCAGACAGCAAGGTCTGCATAAAGCAATCGGAAAATTGATCAATTAATCTGTTTTCTGTGAGGTTAGTTGAAATATATTGACCAAGACACACAGCTCATTTGATCATCCAGTATTACCAGGCAAGGTTTTATAGCCACATGAAGGCCAGATGGAGCTTCAGTTTGCTGTCTCCAAGAACTTGCAATTTGCTATTTCTGGCATGGTATTGCACATTAAAACATGATTCCTGAGGCAGATCTGCTACTTCTGCATTGGTCTCAGTACAGCCATCCGATAACTTCTATAATACTAAAGTTTCAAACACTCAGAACACCAGCAAAAGTTAAAAACAACAGTCTAATTAAAGGAATTCACTGGTTGATTGGACCCACGAGTAACATTTTGTACACCTAATCATTTATTACCTTTATTTATGGCCCAAATGCATTTTTTAACAAAAATATTGCTGTCCCAGCCTTTGCTGGGGAGGATGGCTAAATGCTGAAGTGCAGGAAGTTATTAGTTATTGTTTGTTCCCAGGATCGCAAGACTGTGGGCTAAACATTAGAAAGGGAATCTGGTGTTGAAAATATATAATTAGTTTACAGGATTATAGTTTTCAGAAAACACCAAGAGATAAATGTTTTATAAATTGTAATGCATTTAACTCCAGGCAAATTGTAGTAATAGTTATCAAATTTTATGACATTAATATTGTGACAGTTCAGTTTTCCCTTCATTGAGTTTCCTGAAATTATGGTATAATCCTCTACATTGGCTAGATGTTGAAGAATTTGTAGGATTCCTGCTTGGATTGCTGCTGGATTTTATTTGTACTGATATTAAGCAGAACTTTAATTTTGAGGGTTTTTTGCAATATTGCACAGTAAGTGTTCTTAAAGGTGGTACTGAAAGAGAAATAAAAACATGGTTATGAAATCAAGTCAAGTTGGGCTTTTTCGTCACCCGCATCCAGACTGACTGTCATGGACATTATCTTTCAAAACTTAATTGCAAGTATGATTGACAGTTTTGCCTGAAATGGTTATTTCTGTTGCTTTTGTCAAGCATTAACATTACTAATAGTTAGGGAAAGTGTCTGAGGAACGTGCACCAGAGTACATACGTCAATGAGCCCAATTAGCTAATTATGTATTTGCTTGAATTATTCAGTAGGTATTAAAGAAGTAGCTAAAAAGACATGATTAGATACAAATTGTTGTGGGTGTTTTACAAAAAACATATTACTATTCAATGTGTCAGAACTTGTGCAAACAGTGTTACCTGTCTCCCTTTTTGTTTTTATTTTGCAGCAACGATCAACTGTTGCTTCTTGTATGCATAGACAAGAGACTGTGGAATGCCTGAAGAAATTCAATGCTCGAAGAAAACTGAAGGTCAGATATCATTCTGCTCTCTTCCCTAAGCCTGAAGACATAATCGTCATATAATCAAACAAAATGCAGTATTTTAAGCGTGGAATTCAAATCAGAAAATATTGGTGCAAGTATCTTGTGACATCAAGAATGAGAGTGGGATGTCCATTTTGTGGGGGTGGGGAGGTGTTTGGGTGGTGGAGTGTTTGGTGAAGAAGCACAAATTTACTGGTCAATACATATTGCTGCCACAACATAAGATGTTCCATAAGGATATATCAAGTGCCCATTGGCAAACTTAAATCTATAGTTTCTCCTACAATTTATCATTCTGCACACTCGTGACAAAGAGCTGGTTCCACACTCAAGCCTGTGAATTTTTTGCTGTTAGATTTGGTACGGGCAGAAGATGCATCTATATCTAACGAAAACTACCTTCTCCTTGCCAAGTGAGGAGAAGCAGAGAGATGGATGCAGAGATCCAATTCCAAGGAGTCACAACACAATATTTACAAGCAGAGGACATATGAGCACCAGTTTTTAAGGAGGCATCGGTGTTAAAGACAAGTAGTTGCTGACGTTTGTAGTCTCCTGCAATAAGACGTCCTTCCGAGTGGACAGTTTCGTGGATATTATTGGAGACGATCAAGAATCCCAGCACTGGAGGGCCACCACCAAGGCTGTGTACTCTCCACCTCAGCAAAGAGTGCTGAGCATTAACGATGGCTTGGTGCATGTGTGAACATGGTATTAGCTTCTCAGACAGGGATTTGAGGTGACAGGTGGGAGAAGAATGAGTGCAGCTACAACAGTTGTTCTGAGGAGTGCTCTGCAGGACATTGCTGGGTAAGTCAGAGAATAGCTTTGCCATCGGATAGTGTTTTTCCAAGTGTATTTCCTACATCCTTGAGGTTTTCTTAGTGCACTGTACAGGTTGGAGAGCCCACACTGCAGCTGCAGACTTCCACGGTCACTTCCCCATGAACACCTGCACAGTTCTAGATATTGTCCTCTTCAATCGTGGGAAAGATTGCTTCAGTGCAGTCTCTCCGATCCTGCAGCAAGGATTCCAGCTAAAAGTGAGACCTGACAGCAGTATTTTCCAGGTCTCCTCTCCATTTTTTGCTGCCTTTGCAGCTCAACATGCAAATCTAGTTAACCCAAGGTAACCTGTGTCATAGTCCCTTTAACTAGAAACACTTCGTTCCTGTGTGTGATACCACCCACCTCAATGATTGGGCAGGGGAACTCCAAGATCTAGTGGGTAATGTTATGGCTCAGTTCAAAAGGTTTTGTAGAGGCCATTGAGACTTCATTGAGTTCCTGCCTTCTTATTGGTACTGCCATTTTGTCAGGGACCAAGGTGAGAAAAGTCTATTTAAAGACTTGGCAGAGGGAATTTGTTAGGCTAAATGAATCGACAAGTGGTCGCTGATAGAGTATTTTTAGTGTATACCCCCATGAACATATGCAGAAATTGACATTTTACTTTTAAAAAGCAGCATAGAATATGAGCAGGTTACTTGGAAAAGATGTACTCCACGCAGGTCAAGTGATTTTCATGAGGAGATAGTAGGAACTGCCAATGCTGGAGTCTGAGATAACAAGGTGTGGAGCTGGATGGCTGCAGCAGGCCAAGCAGCATCAGAGGAGCAGGAAAGCTGACATTTCGGGTCCAGACTCCTCTTCAGAAAACTTTTTCTGAAGAAGGGTCCAGACCTGAAATGTCAGCTTTCCGGCTCCTCTGATGCTGCCTGGCCAGCTGTGTTCATCCAGCTCCATGCCTTGTTATCTCGGGTGATTTTCGTGTTTTTTGTACAGACAGGGTCTGAGTCGTGTCTGGGTAAGTATCTGGGAAGTCAGCAAAATGTAAATGGATCATTTGGGGATATTACGTTGAGGAGACATCAGAATTGAACAGAATGGCCGGGTGAGTTATTGCCTAAATTTCTACAGAAACTGACGTGCAGTAGTTTCCCAGACTTGATGCCAAATTGAAATTGCAAAGATTGGCGTGAAGCAAAGAAAGCCACTTTATCTGAAGAAGGTTTAAAGGTCTGGCATTCATCCATTATTGTATGATAATTGTTTAGCCCTCGAGACCATTTCTGTGGGCAATGGAAGCACCCAGACTGTGTTCAGATGAAAGAAATTGGTTTGTGATAGCAAGCACCTCAATAAGGGCAGCTCATTCTGGGGAAAAAGACACTGAGGAGATTGTCTCACCGAGGAAAAGAAAGGACTTGCCTTGAGATTCACCACAGGAAGAGAAGTTTCGCTTTCAGCTGCAGATTATGACTTGACAACAGGCAATGGACCATGGCATTTATCAGAAAAGCCAATGATCTGGCTTTACTGCTGTTGGGGAATTCCAAAAACACTCTCCCCTCTGAGAGAAAAACGTTTTCCTCATTCTCTGTCTTAAACGGAAGATCCTTTAATTTTGAATTGTGTCCCTTAGTCCTCCTCTCTCCCACAACAGAAAACATCCTTCCAGCGTCCACTCTGTCAGTTCCCCTCAGGACCTTGCCCACAATGAAAAGTGATGTTATAAATTTGCAATCAACAGGCAGGAGTGAGACACACAAAAAATAATAACTAACAGGCACAAACCAGCTGCCTTTGCCTTGTCTTGAGGTTGCTGTTGTAGCTGCAACAGTTAGCAGATTTCAGTCACGAATCGTTTTGCAAAGGGAAAGATATTTCTTAGAGTGGTCTTTAGCGATGTTGAAGGAAGACAATTGCCCCCTAATGACCTCCTAGGAAAGAGATCCCTAACGGAGAGCCAATCTCTGATTGGCTGCACATGCTTTTCTAAAGAGTTCTGAGACTGAAGTGCTAGCTTGCACCTGGTGGGGAGCCTCCACTGACTACATTACTGGAACAGTTTACTGGCAGCCTTGAATGATGTTCTGACATTTTGCCACCTCCCATGACAAGAATGTTGTGCTTTCCCATGCAATCTGTGACCTTTATCTCAGTCCATGTGATGTTTGTAGCTGGGGCTCCTATTTCTGCTTGTGAACATGATTCTTCAATTTCGCTGCACAAAGATCAAATAATTGTGAGGAAATCTAGAATTTAAATGTGTGCCAAGCTGCATGAGACAACTGAGATAGTGTACACAAGGATTTCAATTTGTAAATGTGAATGAAGTAGTTTTAAGATTGTTTGTGTGAGTAATTGTTGTTCAGAGGACTGGGTAGCCATGGTCTAAGATTTCAAGTTAGAATCCCTCCTGAAAAGAATGCATGGTGCAGAGTTACTTTTGAAGTATTTCAAAATGCCACTCAAGGTGGCAAAGAAAGCCAGGTGTAATACTACTCTGCTATCTTACCTGCACTGTTAGGCTTGTTGATCTCCTTACAGCACCGGTCTACCTTCTTGTAAGTGAATGTTGGCATTCACTACCAGTGCTGTCTTCCTTAAGATGGCATGAGGGGCATTTCTGTCAAGAACACTTGGAAGTCTCTGCACTCCCATGCCAATTTCCTTGGCGAATTTTTAATCCTAGCTTTCAAAATTGGCATCTTCGTCTCTGCCTGTGTGTTCCACCATGTTGCTTTGCTCGGTTGTGTGCATCAGTTACTCTCATGTTAAACATTCTGGAGAAGTATCAGAAACAAGGATGAATTAGACACAGTCGATTGGGAAGCAAGGAAGTGCCATTCACTGTTCCTTTATCTCTGATTAACCCTGAGTGTGTTGCTTAAGTGTGCAGGTGGAACTTTGTTTAAAGACTGTTATCCACTTTAAAAAATTGCACCTGTTTTGCAGGAGTTTACACTAATAAATGGTCCATTGGATAGATAAACGAGACGTGTGTAAATATGTCTTTTAATCACAATTTGCACCGGTCATTTTCTGTTGATGTAAGAGTGATACAGCACATCACTTGTTAAATGCACTTCATTGTATTTTGTATGCTACTAAAAATATTGCATGATCAAAGATCACACTGACGGGGAAAAAAAAAGGCATCTGCCTGTTGAGCTGTCTCCAAACAATGATATTGTCACTATATAAAATCTGCTTTGCCAGAATTTGTTTATCATTTTTATTTTTTTCAAACTATCTCAGGGGGCTATTCTCACAACAATGCTGGCCACAAGAAACTTCTCAGGTACATATTCCAATTGTGTTGTCTGTCTATCTTCTGTGTATATAAATGTGCAAAAATCTTAAAATTCCACGCGGTTCAATAGGGCCAGTGATTTTGAAATTATTAATGATGGATTACTAATTTGTTACGTAACAATTTTGTGTTGTAATTGACGTATTTGACAATTGCGTAAATTTTCATTGTTAAGTAATTTATAATAGTCAATATTACATGGAGTGCACACTGGCCCAGAATTTGTGAATATAATGAAGTTCAGCCTGCCATAGTCCAAACTGAGTGAAATTCATTGTGTATTGTGCTAAGATTAACATATGCCCAAGCAATGACTCTTCAATGCTCAATTGCTCACAGGGGAGGCAATGGCCTAGTATTATTATCGCTGGACTGTTAATCCAGAGACCCAGATAATGTTCTGGGGACCATGGTTTGAATCCCGCCATGGCAGAAGGTGGAATTTGAATTCAATTTTTTTTAAAAAATGGAATTAAGAGTCTAATGATGGCTATGAATCCATTGTCGAAAAAACCCATCTGGTTCACTAAAGCCCTTTAGGGAAGGAAACTGCCATCCTTACCTGGTCTGGCCTGCATATGACTCCAGACCCACAGCAACATGGTTGACTCTGAACTGCCCTGTGGGCAATTAGGGATGGGCAATAAACGCTGCCTAGCCGGTGATGCACTCATTCCATGAATGAATTTTAAAAACCAATTCACCATATAGAAGCACTGAAGCATATAGTGACAATAGGAGATGTCGAATAAAGTTTTCACAAAAACTTATTCATTCATAATTTTCTACTTCCAAGTAAGATCTCCTTTCGCTACAGATCAATAAAAAGTGTCAATCATCCAGAACCTTGAAAGCATCAATAGCAGGAACTGCAAGGAATTGAAACTTCTTAATCTTGTATTGGAAATAAACATTTGACTGAAGAGATCAGAGAGCCATAGCTTCCAATCAAGCAATGTTTTCCCAGGGGCTCAAATATTTCAACAGGTTCATGGATTTCTGGGTTTTTGGCCCAGAATACAGAATGAACAGTTTGCCTGATTCAATTTTAAAATATACACAATCAGTTGGGTCAGCTTCAAAGCCATTTTTAAAGAAAATAAAGTCACCTTTGCCTTTCTTCAGAACCCAAGTTCCTGATGCCTACAATTGTTATCATTGCTTGTAATGTCCTTCATATCATTACAGAGCCAGAACTGAAAAATCAAGGTAATGGCAAAGTGGCGGAAGTTATTTGAGATAGAAACAGCAAAATATGCCTGCTGCCGATAATGCTGTCAGTTTGCAAATCATGTTAGGTTTCTGTGTCAATGAAATAAATTTAGGAAATTTGTGGAAACTAGACTACAGCAATGAGAAGGCAATGGTCATGTGATGTGACTGAATTGGTCTACTTCCATGGCACATTGCGTTAGTCATACATCTTTTATTGTGAGACTCAGGAAAGTGAGAGGTGGATAATTACTACAACAATTGGCTTTAATAAAGCAGAATGTGCTTTTCTAGCTGCAGCATTAAAGGCACCAACATGATCAGTTTAAATACTCACTGGATGCAATGTGCTGCAAATGTGGACTTCTGGAAGGGTCTACACAGAAACTTTTAATAAAAATAATAGTTCATATTTAGAGGTATTCTGATGATCTGAATATTTGTTTGCGGTTAGGAACTTGAGCATAGAACTGAAATAAATCATGCCCTGATATAGTGTGATGAGTGGTGTCACCCAGCGATCTGTACTGGTGTCCCACACTTTCATCAAATACTTCACTTAAGAAATGTAAAATTTTGTATTAAACTTGGCATCAACAGTAAACTTAGAATATATGGCCTATTCTGTAGAAAGAAAGCAAAAAGTAATGAGGGGACAGGGAGACCAATAGAATGGGGAAAGCTAAAGTTCAATGTGAAAAGTAATCCATTTTGAATACGGGATGGATCAATCAAATTTTTTGTAATGGCAAAAATCTAATGTGGAGCAAAGGGGTTTGAGTGTCCTCCTATCTTAATCATTACTTTTCATGTTTATGTATTTTTAATCAAAAGCAAATGGAATGTTGAGTTTTCATGCAATGGAGTTGGAATGTAAAGGAGAAAAAGTGGTGTCTCAGTTGCACGGAGCCTTGGTGAACACATCTGATGGACTACAATACTACTGGACTTAAAGTAATTCACAGCTTAAAGAGTTAATTTGTAAAGAGTGGTTACATAAAATTTGGTTCATATTTGTTTGAGTTTAAAAGACCGAGGACTGATCAATTAATGTCTATAAATTGCCCTGAAAAATCATGAAAGCTGAAGAGAAACTGCTCCCTCTGGTGGAAATTCAGAGCAAGAGGACGCAATCTTGAATTTGGAGGTGGACTTTGTCGCACAAATGCTAATGGAAATTCTAGAATTTTCTTCCACAGGGCTGTGGATGCTGAGTCAGTTAAAATTCATAAAAATAGGAATGAAAGTTTTTTTAGGAATAGATATTAAAATATTCATATTAAAGACTGATTAATAAATTTAAAATGCACATCAGCTATGATTTAATTGTAGCCACATACTTTAGCAATGAATGGTGTACTATTCCTGTGGCCCAGTAATTTTGCGCTCTGAACAAATTGGATGAATGGAACTGTTATTGTTTGATTTGGTTAGCACTGAACAATTTGTGGATCAGCCAAGGAAACTTCTGAGATAAACATGGCAAATATGTTGAGCAAAATGGCATGGAATATGCAGATTATCCTTATTTTTTGCTGTATCTTTGAAATATTGACAAATCCTTGAAGAAATAGCGAGTTTACTTACAACCATTTTTGATTTCCCAAGTGTTTGGGAGATTACCTTATGTTTATAGTTACAGCAGGAGAGCGGAGGAATGGAGGAGCCATGCTCTTGAGCAGTATTGAACACACTAAACAGAAATTAATGAAATTTATCCCTTTGAAATATATAGGCAAAGGTTGCTTCTAATCCTAACTATATTGTTCCTTATATTTCTGATTAAAATACTGTAAATAAGTGTTGCTAAATTTTAAACATTGATCTGACTGCAATGACCTCATTTTAAGTGCGTTTGCAAATCAAAAATATTTTTATGGAAAAACATGAATTCCAACTTGATTTTTTTAATCTGATTTTTTTCTCTATTTGTCAAACAAAATTTGATGATGTTTTCATAATTCTGTTACCTTGATGGGTTTAATTGTCCAATTTTAAGTAAATACCAACAGCTATGCAAAAGAGACATTATTGCAGCTTCTTTTGATTGTTAGATATGCCAATAGCAAGTGAAGGAAGTATATATTTATTAATCCCTCATTTTTATTAATATCTTGTCTGTTTTTGGTTGAAACTGTTTAAAAAAAAAAAAATTGTTGGTTATGGGTAAAAATCCCCATTTCTTTTATAGATTTTACACATTTGATGTGTATTTGTGTCGGGAAATTTTGAGAAAGATGTGACCTAATCAAACACATGTTTGTTTCTGTTCCTCCTTTTATTTTTTGTATCTTTTTCCACTTTATTTGGGACGTGTTCCCTGTAAGGTAAGACCCTAAGCCACTAATCGGGCATTTTTGCATCTCGAAGCAATCATTGCCTGATTGATTGTTTGATTAATAATCAATGCTTGCTATTTTAATTTAAAATTTTCTTTTGCCTGCTGTCTATAAAATTGCTTTGGGTCTTTTCTGCCTAATGATTGCTTTCAACTGCAACAAAATTAGTTTTGGCTTGCAGCAGCTCTTTAACTATTACTACTGGTGCAGCAGCAAGTTAAAACTGCATTGGTTTTGCCAAAGGAATATGCTTGTGGCGTTTGGAACTATGTGTTTAAATATGATTTTTTTTATTAACTTACAGCAGCAAAGAGTTTGATGAATAAGAAGACTGATGGAGTTAAGGTAAGTTTGTTATCACATACTAATGTTCTTAGTTATTCTTGTGATATGTGTATTTTTCCACTGTATTATTCCTCTGCCTTTTTATCACTATTGACAAACATGTAGGCTCATGTGGCTTCCACAAAAATAGCTTACCAGCCTGCACACCAATGTAAGTTTATTTTTAACTGAATCTTTGCTTGCAGACAAGAAGCCAAATAACACTGAGGGAAGCTGTACACCCATTCTGCTGCTTACTGCCAACATCAGCTTCAGAAAATTTTCTTGAGTTACAAAAAAAAATTGCCAGCTATAGCTCTAACTACAAATTTTCTTTAATTGATTTAAGAAGTAGCAAATGTAATTATATACCTTGGTTGTTGATCTATCCAGTTATGCTTACTGGCATTTTAAATTTATTAAAATTAGTTTCCAATGACTTATCCTGAAATATTTGCAATTAGCTTAGTTATCTGCTTGTTGGTTTGGTTTCTACATTTCCAAACATGGTAAAATATACTAAACAATTAACTGAAAACTAGAATTGGCTAAATATATCCAAAAATGTGACCACAAACATACATAATCTTTTGCACAATTTAGAGAGTCAGCACGAAAATTGTTGCAAGGATTTTTGTTATCAGCTGGGACTATGTTTTGCTGTGAGTGTACTTAATCCTACGTGATCTTTACTCACATTGGAATCTTGCACGTTGGCCTTGGCTTTTCAAGATTTGATCAAGCTTGAGAGTTTGGATTGATCAATAGCAAGAACTGGATTTGAAAATAATGTCTCAGTTGGAAGACATTTCCATTATCATTTCTTGGTCATTGATTGAAAAATAGCCATTTAAATTTAACCTGAGGAAAAATCTAAAATACGATTTACTTACAGTTTAGTCATCCTGAATGATCCTAAGATATTCCCTAATCAGCCCTCAGAATGCCAACTTTACGTTTTTGGAGGGGCTTCTAAATTTTGGGAGAATAAAGAAACCTCATCATGCTTCTGAATTTTAAGTTGAAATAAGTTAATGATATAGAATAATTTTCCTCAAGTCACTTTTTTGTTAAATTGGCAGGCTATTGCCAGGGCAAAGGAAAGATGAATCTAAAAATGAGTGTATTTGTGTTGGGTGGGGGAATGCTCTGGCTTATGAAATCGGTTTCCAGGTCCAGAGCTGCCTTCAGCCAACCACTTTCTAACTAGAACTGAGGGAGCCTCATTGAGGCAAGGACTTTCAGATTGATTTCAGGAGATGAGTGTATTTACAAATTCCAGGATTCAGTGCCTGCCTGAGGAGTTCCCTTGATGGTCCTTCCCCTGACTGTTATTCCTCATTCCTGCTTCTCAGGCCTGCAATTCCCCGTTAACTAGACATTTTTGACCCGCCCAGGATCATCAGCCAGCCTTATTCACCACATTGTACCATTGAATCTCCATCCTTTTCGTGTAGCCGCTGCTGAGGCCTTTACTGATCGACTCCTGACCCAATAGCAGGTTTGCATGATACAGAGAATTTTGCCTGGGGACAGGGAAAAATTGTCAAAGAGAGGTTGATCAATTGGTGATAGGAAAAGAGGCTGGCCTAATGCTGGTGTGTATACTGAATTTGTTGCCTGGGTGGTGTGTTTGCAAAGTATTTTTGATACCTATTGACGAAAGGTAGCCAACATGACCAACCAACAATATTATAGAACAAAGATTTCAGATTCTTTCACCTTTATGTTACAAGTCAAATATCTGAAAAAAATAGCATTTTTATCAAGGAGTAACATTCAGTGTTTATTAGAGAATTATTAAGTTGTCCATTTGAAACCACATATCCTCAACTGGTGAATTGGCTGAGTAGATACCTTGGAAACAACATCAACATTCACCTTGAGGGTATTATTTCAATTAGTAATGCCACTTTTTAACCAAATATTTGTTCAAATCTTATTGCCAATATTTTGACATCGTTAACATAAGCATTATAAGTATTTAATAGATGTGATCTGATGCATCATGGCATATTCTAAAGTATCAATTTGGTGACTTATCATTGGTATATGAAATAGTTCTAGTTAGGATTTAAGAGTGGCCCCTCTTACCCTTTCTTCACCCTTTCCACCAAATGCTGTCTGCCTTTTTTTTAACCTACTGTTCAAATTTTCAGACCCCCTCTAGAATTTTTTAAGGAAGCCAGAAAAGCCTGTTTCCAGGGTTTTGTTCGGGAAAAACAAAACGTGAAAGAGATGGGAAAAATCTAGATAAACTTGAGCCCTAATCAAAGCTCTGTTTTCTGTTATGAGAAAATCTTACCTAAAGGTTTCAAGATTAAACAAGAAGTCCTAAGTGCCTTGCATTTGGTGAGCCCTACAGTTATGGTAGCATTATTGTAGATCAATGTATTGTAGATCAGTAGATCAATATGAAAAATTACAATGCCACAACTTTCAAAAATGATTCATTTTCAAATCTGTAGTGCTATTGATCCATCTTCAATCAAAGTAATTGATTCTGCTCTCTTTATTGTCCTTACTCTTGATACAGGGGAAAAAATAAGTTTACTTGAAGTGAAATAAATGTTTCACATGAAGTTGGAAAGTTGATCTACCTGTTATATTTGCATCCATTCATTTTGTCTAATTATACCATATATTCACATGTTTTCTGAAGTAATACTGCTTGATTTTCTTATGAAATCTATGCTCGCTGTCTCTACCACATGTAAACACAATAGCGCAGTCTTTTTATGCAGTATAAGAAATTACTAATTATGTCAGTAAGTAATATTTTATTTGCTGAAAATCTGCTCTCAGAATTCCTATTTCATTTCATTTGCTTCAACCAATCAAGCTTCTCCCTGCATTAGCCAATTATTCATTTTAGTATGATTTATGTAATAATTTTCACTGGTTTCACTTCTGTATTTATAATATAACTCTGCTGTGCTGTTGAAGTCTAAGACACAATTAAATTTTTGTTTTGTTTTACTAATTTGTGATTTTACGGATAAGTTGCTTAAAAAGCTGCCTTTGGTTCCTGTTAACGATATTAGAGATTTAAGTTGCTTTACTTTTAAACATCTAACTGGGAAAAAAGATTTTTATGATTATATGTTACTTATACACAATGGGATGATAGTGTCAAGTGCTTAAAAAAAGCTTTGAATTTGTGGCAAATAAATAATGTTGAATTTTGTTTACAGTTATTACCAGTACATCATTTATATTAGAAGCTGTTAGAACAAAGTTCTGATTTGCTTAGTTGATGACTGTATTAATAGCCAAGGGTCTAAATTGCACACCTCCCCCTCAAATCTGGTGTATTCATTCTATCAAGCGTTTAGGGCATGTCCTGTCAATTTTGTTCAATTATGCTTACACAAAAAGAATCTACTCTTCAGCTGGAGAACTGTAACCAAATCTATACAGGAATAGAATATTTCTTAATAGATGAGTAACACACATTAATCACTGGTACTATTCCATTTACAACTCAGTGCTGTTGAACTTCACAGCATAAGAGGCCACTCATTCAGTTGTACTTACGCCAACTCTCGGAAATAGCTTTCTACTCTTTCTAATTCCTCCACTATTTCCGCTTCGCTCTTTAAAAATAATTAACAATTGTAACAAATGGTCAAAGCGATCACTTAAGAGTGGCAAGTGAAAGCAATTTTTTACATTAAAATATCTGAAATATATCCATGTCTTTGGAAATATGCCCAAGAAAATAGGTATCAAAGCAGAGATGATGAAAATGATATACAGCTTGTGCAAAGAGACACAGTTTTGAAATATTTTTCAAGTTGGAGAGAATTCAAAGTTTAGGGAGATAGGGCTACAGGATAGGCTTTGACACTGCCACCAATGCTGGGGAAGAAGGTAATCATAACAAAGGTAAGAATTAGAAGATGGAAATAGGCAAGGTTATAGCGAGACGAAGAATTTAATTTTTATGTATTGTGTAGGCTAAGCCAATATAATCAGCAAGAGAAGGGCCTACCAATGACAAGAATGTAGCACAATCCCCGGCTCTTAAATAACAGATATCAAGAAAAGCTTTATTAAAATTTCAAGTTTGGATTATACCATGAGATGTAGGAGCAGATGTAGGCATTTAGCACTTCAAGTCTGCTGTGCCATCCAGTGATGTCATGGCTGAGCTGATAATCTTCAATTCCACTTTTCTCCAATGTCCCAAAAAAATCTGTCTGTCTCAGCCTTGAACATGCATAACAACCCAGCCTCGACAGTCCTCTGCATAAAGTAACATCCATAGATTCACTACCCTCTGAGAAAAGAAATTCCTTCTCATCGCTGTGTGACACCTTATTCTGAAGTGATGCCCTCTGATCCTAGATTCTCCCACAATGGGAAGCAATCTTTCTTTACCTACCCTGTAAAGTCCTCTAAGAATCTTACATGTTTCAAAAGCATCACCTCTCATTCCTCTTATTAAGTAAACTAATGTGTCATACCATCAAACATTTGCTGAAAATCCAAATATATATGACATCAACTGTTTCTCCTTTATTTATCCTGCTTGTTACTTCCTCGAATAACTCTAAATTTGTCAGGCATGACTTCACCTTTATGAAGTTTCCCTGATTCTGCTTGATCATACAGTGTATTTCTAAACGATCTGCTGTCACATCCCTTAAATTAGACACTGACATTTCCCAATAATAGACATTAACCTAACTGGCCTTTAAGATTCATGGAAGATTCCTGGAAGTACATCCACTATCTCTGTGGGTACTTCCTTTAATATTCTACAATGCATCCTAACAGGTCCACAGGACTGATCTGTCTTTAGTCCCATTAGTTTCCCCACTGCTTTTTCTCTAGTGATGGTTAATGTATTTATTTCCTCTCCTCCTTTTGCCCCTTGATTATTTAGCAATTTTGGAACCTTGTGTTGTCTACTGTGAAGACAAATGTAAACTCTGCCATTTCATGATTCCCAATTATTGTTTCCCAAGCCTTGTTCGCTAAGGGGAATGCCAGGAAATGAAAATGATATATAAAGC